AAATAGACTCAAAACATGCGCTTCTGGGTGCAAATTTTATGACAATTTCAAATTCATGGCAAATTTATAAAGTTAAATTTAGCTTCTGAAATTGGAGGATTGTAACAATGATAGTGCTGACAGTCTGGTGTTACAGCTTACACAAATTAAGAAGCTCAATGCAAACCGTTAAAGTACGATGCCATTTTAAGGATTCCCCACAGTTCCCGCACAGCTTCAGTTCATAATGTATAAAACCTATGACAAAATCTTAGTTTAAAAACAAACTCCATATAAATTCACTAAGTTGTAACACTTAAAAATTAAAAGCATTAAAAAGAATGTGCCTCAAAAGAGAAAGGATCATGCTATGCTCACAATTCTACAACCTGGCCTGCTTACCATAGGTCAGAGTTGGTTAGCGACTTCTGTAAAAATCTCATTTGTTCTCTTGGCCTCAGGGGTCTATATTATATACACATTGATTTTTCCTGTAAAATTTTCCCCCCTTTCCTGACTGCATTCGCTTGCAGTTAGCATTTTTAAAAAATCTTTACAAGTGTGCTTAATTCACTAAGTTTGGTTTCATCCATCCTCCCTTTTCATAACTTTAAGAACCCTTGGACCAATCCTACAGTATATACAAAGGCAAACGTCTCACAGCCACCTGTCCAATTTTAAAGACACATCAGCAATCTGAAATCCACTGGGGGGGAAAAAATGTAAAATAGTTTCAGGTATTACACATGCCTTAAAGTCTCCATACCAGTTTTTATGGGTTTACAATTATTTTCCTACTTTTCAAACTGGTTTCTCGCACACTGTTACTATGTGAAAGACACATACAAACAGGTGAAAACACAGACTGACTAGCGAGGAAGCAGTGGGAAAGTGACTTACACAAAGTGCTCTCAAGTACATGAAGAAAACAAGTGAAGAAAAAGATTTTTATTTGTCTGATCTTTACCATACAAGCAACATTTATGAACGAGAGGCAAATTTGAAACAAAATGTGTGATTTAAGTTAACTTTGTACCTATAAAAATCAGTAGAAATACAACAGTTTTGGATTTTGTACTTATATGTAAACTAAATACTAAGAGCTGTGCTCTTTATTGCACACATGGATTCCCACTGTGAACTTATTTGCATATGATGTTAACACACTGCCTAGGAAGGTGTTACCTTGACTCATTTTGCAACACAAAGTCTACATACATGAAAATGTAATGGAAAATATTTTATTAAGGTTTATCTATTTGAAAGATTCCAAGGGCATTAAAAATAAAATAATGAAGAAAGATTTCCATAGTTAAAACATCTGAAGATCAAAGATTATTGAATCAAGTCAATTTCAAACAAGCAGGCTCTGTGTAAACTGAGACAAGAGCCACCTATAAATGAGATAGCCTTATGAAAAACCAATATATACCATGACTCAAGAAAAAAGAAAAACTACCTAAACACCAAAAGGGAATTTGCCTATATTTTAGAAAACTGAGCTATTAGGACAGATGACAAGTCTAGAGTTTGACATGTCAAAATGTGAGGTATATCTGACAGGCTAAGAGAACAGAAGTCAGAGGAAACAGCTTATTAATATGGCAGCTGTAACAGTATTGCTTTTATCCTCTCTCTTCAATAACTGAAGTTTATAGATTAATTTTCCACAGGATATCCTGTCAGAGAGTTCATCTTTATGCTTCTTTTTATGGCTTCTCTGCTACATTTAGAAATATAGCAGTCTGACTTATATTGGGGAAATACCAGCTATTATTTCAAAGAGAAAATTCTCTCTCCTCTTAAAAGGATGTAGATAACACAGCAGAGTATTTAACAGCCTATGTACTAATAATGGGCACAGGAAGGAGTGCAGTTACTGCTCTAAAGAGGTAATAGGGTTAACAATTTTAAGGCAAAAGGACATTGACACATGAATGTACACACAATTATAAAATGGCTTCATTGAAAGCTGAGATATAATTTACACAAGATATTATATGGGTCAGACATTTCTTCAGATGCATGCTCACAACGGAATTTTACAACTTCTTCACCAGTCCAATTATGCTGTCACTCAGCATTATTCAATTACATTTTTTCTTATGCATTTTCCCTTGTCAGATTTGGAACCACTTGTGATGTGTACACATTAATCTTAAATCAGAAAATGTAGTGCCCACCTGGAGTCTAGAATCCCCTGCAGACATTTTACTTGTTAGACATATTTTAGGGTGCCTATTCCTTTAGTATGTAGAGTCCAGGTATGTAACACAATATTGTTCCCTAACCAGGAGACATCTAATCTAATACATACACCTTACAGCAAAAGAGAATCAAAACCAAGAACACCAACTAAAGGAGATTAGTGGCTGAGGAGATAAGAGAAAAACCAAACCAAAGAGATATCACTTTTAGGACATGACGCAAGGTACAGGACTCAGGCTCTGATAGACTGTAAGTGGAAAGGCATTACAGAGCCAAGGATCTGGTACTGAAAATACCTTTTCAGTAGCTCCAGGATTCCATCCCCAGATGGAAAGCAAAAGCATTCCCACTAATGGTATATTCTGAAAAGGGATACATGGGGAGAGGTGATCTCTGAGACAGCCAGGTGCTAGAACATCTGTAAATAATCTATCTTTGACTAAGCAGAGGATTAGCAGCCAGTGCAGTGCACAGCGATACTATAGTCTCTTCTATCTACAGGTCTTTAAAAAGCAAGCAGTCATATTCTACTCTAAATGAAGCATCTGAGTGATGGTCAGTGGTAGCTACATGACAGCACATTTCAGTAGTCTACTAAGAGATGATAAAGACAAATAATGAGGGCACAGTCTGCGTAGGTGGGGAAAAGATGCACTCTTTGGCCAGCCAAGACTCTGAAGAAGGCAGCATTTCCAGCTACTGCTACTACCTGGGATTCAAGAACTACAAACAAATCTATCAACTGTGAAAAACAGCGGACTTCTACCCTTAAAATAAGTGTGCAGTCGCATACCCCAGCCAATTTCTCAAAACGTTTTCCAATATCAACAAGCATACTGCCATCTTAACTGGTTTGAGCACACCAGCTAGCATCAGTTTTGATTACTTCTTCCAACACTGAAAAAGCAAAGAGCAATGTTCAGGTTCTCCAAGGGAAAACAAAACAAAAAAATCCCACAAAGATGAGCATCATCAGCATAATGATGACATAGTAGGCCCATAACATCTCAATACCTCCTCTACCAGCGTCACATACTTGTTGAAAAGAAAGTGGGCCACTAACAGAATATTGTGAGACCTCTTATGCGAGAGCCCTCATGGAAAATGAGCAACCTCCCCTTCTAACCCTCTGGGATATCTTAGAAAGAATGACTAAAGCCACCTTAAGCATGTCAACACCTCAAGATCAACAGTATCAAAGACTGATATAACATTAATACCTAACCTTTCAGCATCCTGAGATTTACCACAATGGGGACAAATTTGTCCTCTGCTAGTTCTCAGGACTTAAACAGCTGTATGAACCTAAAAAAAAAAAAAAAACAAAAAAAAAAAACACCACCCTCACCTCTCATTGCGACTACAAGCAAGAAGGAAAATCTGAATCTTTCTTTGTTTCATGTCCTGTTCTTCCCCCATTCATTTTCAAGGCTATTTAATTCTGTCCTAAGTTACCCTCCTCTCACATTAATGGAATTTCTTCTTCTCAAGGCTTGTCTACCCTTACCGGGGAATCGACAAGCGATGCATCAGTGGTCGATTTAGCGGGTCTAAGACCCGCTAAAATTGACCGCAGTTCGCTCTCCCGTTGACTCCTGTACTCTACTGGAAGCTGTCAACATCGCATAGTGTGCACTCCACGGTAAGTAGATCTAAGCTATGTCGATTTGAGTTACACTATTCACATAACTCAAATTGCGTTTTCATATTTATTTTTACAGAGCCCGTTATAATAGGGCCCTAATCCCAACTGGGTTTACCAGATACAGCTACGACATTAGTATTAAATAATAATGGTTGTAAATGGCTGTTGCCAAGGCTGCTAAACTCTGTACAGGGAGCAGAAACCTTTGAAACTGACACAGTTACACTGCACACATTGCCAAAGAAACCAGCACACACACACACATACACAGACACACAAATTAAGACACCCAGTTCTCATCTATTTTTAAAAAAACCCTCATGTTTCAAGTGTCTAACAATGGTTCCTCTGAGACTGTACTACAGGCACATCAATTTCAAAGGCCTGTGCTCCCTGTGCAGAACTGAGCAACTCTGGCAATGTAATAGGGCTTTAAAGTGGAAACTCCAGGAACGAAACATGCAAGTGCCTCAGGTTGCGCTCAAAGAGGGGGAAGGGAGGAGCAGCAGCAGAGAACTTTGAAAGGAAACATCCAGGGTCTGAGCAGTCTGAACAATTCGTTTCCCACCACCACCACCCCCAGAGAAGCCCCACTCCACCCCCATATTGCCTGAAGTGGCTGGCCCAAACCTTCCATAAGGTATTCATTCAGAGCAGACCAAACCATGATGTAGTCAAGATTCAAAAAGGAAATTTGAGATGGAAAGGACTCTTAGGCTTGTAAAATATACCTAAAAATAAATCTCAAATAGTTAATTGTATTTAAGAATTGCTCCCCCAAAACTTGATAATTATTGTAAGTATACCACCACACTCCAAAGCGTACTTTTCCAGTCAACTATACACGTTGTGTGTACGTATAATATAATGAAGGGGGACACAGCCTGCTAGGTACTTCTACACATAGACAGTGTACTCATGCAATATAGTTTCAGAGTGCAATCAGTACAATTCACTCCCTCTCTTAGAAGAGAAGCAACATAAGAAATTTAACACAGTAGCTGTGTATGTCGTGACCTGAGAAACTGTTTTTCTATCAAAGCAGGTATCACAACTATATCTGCAACGTTACACTTAGTCATCTTATAAAATCACTGCAATGGTAATTGCAAACTAATTTACATAAAAGTGATATGGTTTCTTTGTAAAGTTAGTGGCATGATCTTACCTCTCATCCTCACCATCAACAAGATGTGTTGTCAATGGCAGTACCTTCAGTGGAAAAAGGGAAGCAGAGGATGTTATGTTGCTGCCACTCCCATCTGAAACAGCTGATGCTCCAACACCACTTTCACCACTGGCAGCTTGCGGTAAACCAACTAAGGAAGGTTCTGTAGGGCGCCTGCCATCTTCAATTTGGCTTACAATTGACTGAGTTAGTGATTGTGCAGAGAACTGGGTAGAGTTTAACGGTATCTGTGGTGGCACATTCTGTGCCACTGGCATACTTATACTAGTTGATATCAAGGGAGGCTGACTAACACTTTGAACCAAATTCCCATTTTGCACAGCTGAAGCTTGTGCTATGTTCTGTGATGGACCCAAACTTACAGGAGCAGAAGGTATATCAAGAGGTACATTTGAACTAGCTTGACTTGGAGCAGGAACGGTACTAGTAGAAGGTATAGGGCTAACTGCAGGCAATGGTTGGCTGGTCATTCCTTGAACTACAGTTTCTACTTGTGCCTGGGGTTGTACAGGTAACAAAGCATTTTGTGAAGCAATGACCATTTGCGGAGGAAGGCTTGAAGCACCAGCTTGTAGTCCCTGCTGAATTATCCCAGTCTGAACAGGCTGCACCACTTGTGAAGATGGAGGAGCAGCACTTTGCTGCATAACTGAAGGTGTAATTTGGTTTGCAACAGGTGGCTGCTGTACCACAGCAGGTACATTTCCTTGTTGTCCAACGTTAATAATTTGACCACTAGTACCTACAGGTGGCATTGCTGTCTGAGCATGTGCAACAGGCTGAGCTGGTGCCACAGCAGGGTGTACTTGTACAGAAGGTTGGATGCTTGGTGCCTGAGCAACAGGAACTGGTGTTCCTGCTCCTACTCCTGTAGAGCTGGATTGCACAGCAGGCACTGGAGGTTGAAGTATCTGCTGATGTTGTATGTAGTCCGGTATGGTCCCTGTCACAGAACTCTGATTCACTGGTTTAACTCGTGCAGGGGCCATCTGCATGGGAAGTGTCTGTTGTTGTCCATACTGTAACTGCTGCTGTGGTACAACAGGCAAAGTTTGCACAGACCGTGAGGGTTGAGAATATGGTAGCTGCTGTTGAGCCACACTTGGAATAGCAGGTTGTTGGTGACCTAAAGATGATACACCTACTACATTAACTGGAGTTGGCTGAACACCAGTAACAGTTGTTAGACTAGCCTGCGCTGAAGACTGGACTCCTTGCTTTTGCTGTGGATAATTTACTTCTTGAGAAGGCAATTGTACTTGTGCAAGCTGTAATTGAGAAATACTCTGCGGTATATTGGATGCTGGAATAGTCTGAGGTCCAGCACAACTAAAATCCATCTGCTGTGGACCCACACCTTGAAATGTCTGCTGTTGTATCACAGTAGGTGCTCCCATTTCCCCGCTTCCCACACTTTCTGTGTAGTGACTCAGTGTGCTTACATTGCTGCTAACAGAACTCCCACTGGTGCTCTCCCTTTCAGAAGTCACTTCAAGTGGATTTTGTTTTATAGTCTCTACCGCCTTGTTTACTGCTACTCCTTCTGTAACTGCTACAGTGTTTTCTTTATCATAGAATTCAGTGCATATCCATCTACCCTTTTTAAAAGGTTCAGAACTGGAATCTAATTTTACAACTCTAAACCTTGATGTGCCAGCTGCAGGCTGCTGCTGACTTGATCCCACTGCCATGCCTGCAGTTGGATTAGTAACATTATTAATGACATTAGAGGAAGCACTCGTACCATTGCCAACACCACTCAAGATATTCACATTAACATTGCTGCTGGTTCCAGACAAAGCATGTACATTAGCAGTACTTGTGATGTTGCTTAAGTTTATATTAACGTTACCAAGCATGCTGCTTGTCATACTAGGACTACCACCACCCACATTACTTAACGTACTAGTTCCAGTAACAGGACTTACACCTATATTGCCAGGAGTACTTGTAGTGCGAATATTAGACAGGACAGATGCAGGTGTACCAGTGGATGATGCAGCAGAAACTGGTGCAGTTGTGATAACATTGTCAGAGCTTCCAGTTGTGGACAGCTTTCTAAATGATGGACTTGGGGGTGGTCCTCCAGAAGCTGGTGTACTGCCCACCCCAGGATGCGATGGATGATGATGCCCATGATGGTGATGATGAAGGTGGTGGTGATGGTGACCATGATGGGGGTGAACATTTCCATTGATCACAACACTCTGCTGTGGGTGATGTGGCAAAGGGGGATGCTGCTGAGGAAGGTGAGGCTGGTTTGGAGAGACGGCCCCAGGAGTCTCAGCCTCTTGGAAGTTATTTAAAGTCTCTTCGGAGGAGCTCCGTTCAGGTTCACCCAAGTCAGTGGCCCTGGATAAAGAAACATCCAAAATTTCTGAAGAAGACAGGTCTTCAGTGTGGGACTCATCCAGGTCGTCGTAGCTTTCCGTGTCCTCCGCTATGCTGTTGTTAGAGCTCATACTGGCAGAGATCTGAGCAGGGGTCACGCTGGTAATTTGGAAGCCACTTTTCTTTTTCATTTGGGCTCCAGCCTGTGCAAGAGGCTGTGGCTGGAGCTGAGACTGGGCAAGGAGGTTCAGACTTTGTGGAGGAGGGGGTGGCGGCTGTGGACCCGCCGATGAAGATGCTGCAAGAGACGGAGGCGGCGGCTGGATGAGCAGAGGCGGCGGATAATCCTCGGTGGAGAGGGCACCGCTACCAGCGCCGGTACCTGGTGCATTGAGCGCAGTAACGCAGCTGCCGCCGCTGCTGCTACCGCTGCCCCTTCTAGGAAACATTGCCGGGTGCGCCATCTTCCTAGGACTAATGTCTGCGGCTGAGTCAGGCTGGTGCATTGTACCAGGTTTATTTTAAGAGTGCAATTCCCCGGCCCGGAGAGAGACAGCCACACAGTTAGCTTTGCATGCAACCCAGGGGAGAGGCACCACACACAACCCCCTCCTCTCCCGGCTGGCGCACACAGCACAGGCTGAGACGCTTCGGCACAGCCGGCACAGCCACTAAACCGCCCCTTTTCCTCCTCCTCCTCCTCCTCTCGGGGGCTGGGGGGTGAGGCCGGGTCCCTCCGCCGCCTTCAGATCAGAGCCAGTGAATGTGACACTTTCAATCCTTTGCCGTTCACTTTCCCCTCCGATCTCCACTCCCCCTTATCCCTCTTCTCCGGGGGGCGGGGTGCTGGGGGGTGGGGAAGAAATTACCCACGTTATCCGGCCAACTCAGAAAGCAACCGCCCGCCCCCCTGCCCGGCTCCCAACCGAGCTGTGTGTAGCTAGAGGGGGGTGACTCGCGGCAGAGCAGACCTCCCCGCCGCGGGGCCCTGGGGGAGCGGCTGGGTGCGGAGGAGCGGCGCGGGGGTCTCGGGGGCTCCGCAGAGCGGCAGGCGGGGGCGCCTAGGAGCAGCAAGGCGAAGGCAGATACGTACAGGGCTGGCACGCAGCAGGGCGGCGGCAGCAGCCTGAGCCGGGCAGGGACATTCCCGTCAGTGGCAGCCATGGAGCTGAATCATTTTGGGGTGGTTAAAGAGACAGAAGGAGGCCGGAACGAGCAGCCACCCGCCCTCCTCCCCTAGGAGAGCCCGGCGCAGGGAGGGGAGCCGGCCCAGCCTCTCCCTCCGCCGCTCGGTCTCTGCAGCGAGGCGTTCGCTTCAGCCGCTCTGCCCCGGCTCCCTCGGGCTAACACCGAGCTCCTCTGCAGAACCAGGCTGGGATGAGTCCTCCTCCTCCTCCCTCTGCTGGGTCTGTCTGCCCCCCGGCTCCTCCGCTACCGCGACTCGTCCTCCCCCGCCCCCCAGGCCGCCTCACACGGCATTGGAGCGCGGCGCCGAAGCTGGGCAAGGGGAGGGATTGGCCGGAGGGGGGGGAGAAGAAGAGAAGTAAGATGGCGGCGGCGCAGGCGCCCTGAGCCCTCAGACATAAAGCCCGTCTGGAGCCGGCGGTCGGAAATAGATTCGGCTCCGGCCGGCGGAAATTGCCGAGCGGTGACGAGGAGCTCGGCTTGCCCAGCGAATCCGGGTGGGCGGGGCTGGCCGCGGGGAGAGGGCTGGGCGCCTACCATTGGCGGAGCGGCCCCCGAGTTATTAATAGGCTCCCGCAGAGCAGGGGGGGGACGGGGTCGCTGCACGGGCTGTACCGCGGGGGAGGGGAGCGATGCCACCGCCGCGCCCCAGGCGGAACGTCTCTGTCTCAGACACACGCAGCTCGGGCGGCACTGGCCGCATGGCTCTGCCCCACATGATCGGCCCCAGCCCCGCCCCATCCTGTTGCAGAGGTAGCTACAGTGTTAAGTGCTGTATCATTTTATTTCCATCGGTTCTCATTTCGATCCAGGATAGTCTCCTCTCTCCCCTCCCCTCCCCTCGCTGAATGAGAAACCTGAGGCTTTATCATCAGGGCTGCCTTTTCCAGCATCACGTGCCTCTTTTGTGCAACAAACTGCAGTTGCCATGTGGTCCCCCCTCTCTCTCCATAGAGGACTGGGCTGGGTGGGGGAAGGGGAGAGGTTGGTGGGTGGGGTGCAAATAGCGCCCTTATTGGCTACCGCACCGTTGGTCACTGCAGTCAGTAGAGATGTTTCTGGAGTGACTCATCCTTTCATTGGATTGGGTGAAGTTCTGGAGGTGGGCTCATGCTTTTTAACTCCAATTTAGCGCCCCCCCCTCCAGATTTCCACTCACCTGAAACCTATGAACGACAGCAGAGGAAGATGTGAATTATATATATAAAAACAATTAAAATGTTTTCAGTTCAGTTGTTTCCTCATAAATGTCAGTGCTGTAGATAATATAGTACCTCTTACTGGATTAACCAAAAATTTAGGAATATATAAATATTTAGGCAGCAAATATCTTTTCTACAGTGATACAGGCAACATAGATGTTATGATATTAAGGACAGTATATCATCGGCTGTGTTAAACATTCAAAGCTGCATATAAAAAAGATGCAACTAATGAATGCAGCTTTTTTTTAAATTGCTATCTATAGCTACGTCAAATATATATAGATAAATGTTTCTTATAAAACTGCTATAACTAAAAGAAACACACTCGTGCAACATTTCACATCTCGCAATTAATATACGTGTTGGTGGTAGTTAAATTATATTGAAGTAATTTTAAATCCACCAGTCAAAATAGCACCTCTTTCAACAGCCTGCAGCCAACATTCTGCAAAAGAAGAAAGCTCTCACTTTCCCTCTACTATCAGAAATATGAGGCTCAATGTACCCAACTACTACGGTGACCAGATGTCCCAATTTTAGAGGGACAGTCCCAATTTTGGAGCCTTTTTCTTATATAGGCACCTATTACCCCCCACACCGATTTTTTACACTTGCTATCTGGTCACCCTACCACCTACCCAATTGCCTCCACAGTGGCTTTGTCTACATTACACAATTCATTGTGTTAGAAAACATTAACACAACATTAAACAAGATTTTGTCTTTAGTGTGAACAAGAATTTTAAAAGTGTTAGTAAATATGTTTTCTAGCACCATGTACTTCCCAGTACAGACCAGGCCAATGTAAGAAAAAACTTCATCAAGAGCTAGTCCTTGATCCAGACAACGAGCTGGCCTAGTGGATCTCTGCATGGAACCACAGTAATTTCCACTAGGCTGCAGCCCACACGGAGCTTATTGTAGTATTGGGATAGCGTGACCAGATGTCCCAATTTTATAGGGACAGTCCTGATTTTTGGGTCTTTTTCTTATATAGGCTCCTATTACCCCCCACCCCCATCCCGATTTTTCACGCTTGCTGTCTTGTCACCCTACATCGGGACCTTGTAAACATGTTTAATTTTAATGGGACTATTCATGCTGAAAGGTAAGCATGTGCATAAGTGTTTGAAATCAAGCCTAAGGTGGCAAATCCCCTTCCATTATAAATTCCTGCAATTTTCTTAAAAATTCTTCTTAGGGCTGAAATTTTCCATTATCAGTCTCAGCCCAGAGGGCTGAATATTTTTCTGAATATTTTAGCAAAATCCAGTCAGTTTTAAAATATGTGGTCAATGAAAACAGGTAGAACTTCTCTCCCCTCCCCCCCACTTTAAATAGCATTACAACATTTAACTGCACATGAATAACTAAAAAGGGACTTAACTTTAAAGTTTGTATGTAACTACTTCCCAATGAGAAATAGACATCAAATAAGTTTGAAAAAAAATAGTAAAATTATAACTAGTTAAACATTTACTTTTGCACATGCATACTGAAAGAGTTCTGTTCACTTGATATTTTGATAGTTGTATGCAGCTCTACTGGGCTGTAAGCTCCATTTAACAACAGCTAAGTCCTGATCCTAGAATTGAGTTCTCACATTTCTGTTACTGCAAATCAGGAACAGAAAGAAAAATAAAGTTCAAATAGGAAAGTTAACTCAGTTATATAATGCACATACTGTACATTAAATTAGATATTTAACAATCCAAACAGTAATCTAGGTTCGAGGACGAATATATGATATAGTCTGATAAGAGTCTTTTACCTAAATAATATTCTGTATGCATACCCTTTTCTTTAAAATCTCTCTTTGTGAACCTGAATAAAATGTCATCAGAGTCACGTTTATCCGTGTTCTTGTGAATGGTTATTGGTAGAGCTGGTTAAAACAAAGAGAGTGGAGGAAATTATCACACAAAATGTTGTGATTTCTTTTTCATCCCTCTCCATTTTAAATTTCTTTATTTGTCAAATTAAACATATTTCAGTGAAAATTTAATTTAAAAGAGTCCCTTTCTTCAAAAAATTGTGACCCACTCTGACTCTTGGTTTCCAGGTTATAAATGAATTCTGAAATTGTTGTATAGCTGATACTTCCAGGAAACTGTGGCCTAGCACCTTTTTTATGATCTGGAGGAAAGCTGCAAAGTGAGGGTACTGCTACATCAATCAAATATAAAACTATAGGTGTGACTGCTTCACGTGCTTGATCCAGCCCTCTTGCCTTTGAGCACAACTAATGATTAGGAAGTGGACGCTACTGCAATCCATTCATTACATCTGCTGGAGATGGAAGATTTCAGGAATGTTGCAAAAGAAGAGGAGTCACTTTGGACTGGACCTTCCCAGGTATGTGTTTCCCCAAATGTATAACCACAGATGGCCTCAGTCCTCATCCCAGCCCTTGGTGCTACATAGGAAGGCTGGGTATCAGAAGGAAGATGTCTAGTTCAGCCCAGCAATCTTGTAACTTCAATTACTGCCACAGGACAGACTAAATATTTGGATATCTATCTTTTATATATTAAAAATCTTATCAAAGGGGAAACAAGAAGAATCTGGGTCCCACCACATATTCTCAAGCTACTGCTCGACAGATATCAGAAACAGCATTATTTTAGTATTAGTAGCTCGTTCACTGTGTTACAGTAGTAATACACATTCATCTCTGTTCACACCATAGATTGTATGTGGATATAAGCTAATTACTAGACCATTCAATAAGCACAGTTTGTTGGCTTTAGTCAAGACTAGGCCAGGAACATTGCAAATCAATTTCCAGGTTTATTGGTAAACCTGTATGGCAGTACTTTTTTTTTTTTAAGTCACTAACAATAATAAAAAATGAAGTGTTTTGCTATGGAGCTGCAATAGTTGAAATAGTGGTTTAGCAGTCTATGGATTGGTTGTTGTTTTTTGATTTTTAACTGGTGACTATATTTAATCTACAAAGGTGACCTACAAAGGCTTGTGCAACCTTTTTTGTTCTTTAAATAAGTTCTAAAAGGAATTCTCTCACCCTTCAGCTCCCAAAAAGTTTGATTCTGCTTCCCTTTTTTCTTAGGAGAAAAAACAGGAATGTCATGTCTTGAATTTTCTTTTTTTGTTGGATGACTTATTGGATGATTCAAAAACACATAGTGGGAGATTTTTCAGCCTGCAAGTGAAGGACAGGAGTGTTGAATCTTTAGCAAATACAATTTCTTCCAAAGTTTAGTTAAGTGTTGACAGAAACTAAGAATTTTAGCTATCTTCATAAAAATACCATACCCTCTCCATTGATCAGGTTTAACCCTCTTGTTTTGGTATTAGTGAATTGTAATCATAGACCATCTGCAAAGTAATTTTTAAAAATGTCACTGCATGGT